ACCGAGTCGGAAGAATCACTATCAAATATCAAACTATACTGTAAGGTCATGGTAACCAAAACAGCATGGTAGTGGCACAAAAACAGACACATAGATCAATGGAACAGAACTGAGAACCCAGAAATAAACCCACACCTTTATAGTCAATTATTATTTGACAGAGGAAGCAAGCACATACAATGTGCTGAAGGCAGTTTATTCAATAAGTGGTTTTGGGAAAATTGGACAGATATGTGCAGAGAAATGAAATTAGACCACCTTCTTACACCACACACAAGAATAAATTCAAAATGAATCAAAGACTTATGCTAGACCAGGAACCATAAAAATCCTACAAGAGCCCCAACTGGTGTGGTTCAGTGGACTGAGCACCGTCCTGCGAACCAAAGGGTCACCAGTTCGATTCCCAGTGTAGTGCACATGCCTGGGTTGCAGGCCAGGTCCCCAGCAGGGGGCATGTGAAATGCAACCACACATTGAAGTTTCTCTCCCTCTCTTTCTCCCTAACCCTCCCCTCTCTAAAAAGAAATAAATAAAATCTTTTAAAAAATCCTAGAAGAAAACATAAGCAGCAAAATCTCCAACATTGCTTATAGAAAATTTGTATCCGATATATCTCCCCAGGAAAGGGAAACAAAAGAAAAAATAAACAATTGGGACTTCATCAAACTAAAAAGTTTTTGAGTAGCAAAGAAATCATCAACAAAATAAAAAGAGAACCCACAGAATGGGAGAACATATTCTCCAATGCATCTGATAAGGGGTTAATATCCAAAATGTATAAAATATTTACAAAACTCAACACTAAAAAAACACACAACCCAATTAAAAAATGGGCAAAGGACCTGAACAGAGACTTCTCCAAAGAGGACCTAAAGATGGGCAATAGACATATGAAAAGATGCACGACATCACTACTCATTAGAGGAATGCAAATTAAAACCACAATGAGATAAATCACTTCACACCTGACAGAATGGCTGTCATCAATAAATCAACAACAAGTGTTAGCAATGATGTGGAGAAAAGGGAACCTTTGTGCACTGTTGGTGGGAATGCAGACTGGTGCAGCTGCTGTGGAAAGCAGTGCGGAGATACCTAAAGAAATTAAAAATGGATCTGCCTTTTGACCCCGCAATCCCACTTCTGGGAATATATCTGAAGGAACCCAAAATACTAATTTGAAAGAACATAAGCACCCCTATGTTCACTGCGACGTTATTTACAATCGCCAAGATATGGAAGTAACCCAAGTGTCTGTCCATCACTTGAGGAGCGGATAAAACAACTATGGGACATTTACACAATGGAATACTACTCAGCTATAAAAAAAGAAGAAAATTTTACCCTTTGAAATAGTATGGATGGACCTGCAGAACATTATGCTAAGTGACATAAGCCAGTCAGAGAAAGAAAAATACCATATGATTTCACTCATATGTGGAATCTAATGAACAATCTGAACTAACAAACAAAACAGAGACAGATTCATAGATGGAGAGCAGATGACAGCGAGTGAGGGGGGAAGGTTAAGGGGTGGAGCAGTTGAACCAAAAAGAAAAAGGACTCATGGACATGGACAACAAATTGGGATTTGCTGGGCAGTGGAGGGTATAAGGTAATGGAAAATATTATGATAAAGATTATATATTGAAAAAATATGTATTATATATGCATATATGTATGATATATATTGATGTATATCTATGCTTTTTTGTCTTCAAGGCTGCTGAAGTACTGGTTAAAAGCTGCTCTGGAGTCACACTGTCTAGTTTAAGAGCTCTACTCTATCATTTATTAGCTGTGTGACACTGGATGGGTTACTTACACTCTGTGTCTCAATTTCCTAATCTATAAAATAAGAGCAATAACAGATTCTATTTCATAAGACTGCTGAAAATGTTAGTGTGTTGATGCATGTAAAGGACTTTTGACAGTGCCTAGAACACATAAAGTACTTAAATCCTAGAAATTATTATGGATGTTGTTAATAAAGAGTGTGGGACTTGTGTATGTGAACAGAGTCCCTTAACTCCCTTTCCATTATCAGATCCCTATTGCCGTCACCAAATAACACGAATATAAAGAAAACCCTGCATCAACATCGGATAGCTTAAGGACTTTATGATAGAGTAATAATGGATTCATATTAAAGAAAGGCACCGAAAATGGATTCACATCCACATTCCTATGAAACAGACATCTGGACAATGAGTCTCTGCCAGATTCTCACTGTTGGATTTCCTGCTATCTCACTAATAACTACAGAGTTTCTTTTGCTATTGAATCCTTTTGCCCACGATTTCCAAATGTTACAGGGCTCTAGGCTAAGACCTTGGTTCTTTTATTTTCTCTGTATTATTCACTTTCTTGGTGACCTCATCTAGTCCCTTGAATTTACTATTTATATACTGACAACTCTCAAATTCATAGCTCCAGCTCAGGTCTCTCATTGACCTTCAGACTCGCATTTCTAACAACTTACTTGACATTTCTACTAGGTTATCTAGCAGGCATCTCAAACTCAACATATAGAAAAACAACTTTCTGACACCCATCCCATCTTCTAACTTGTTCCACTTGTTCCTTGTTCCCCATCTGTTTCTTAGGCCAAAAGCCATGATTTCAACACTGACTCCATGCTTTCTCTACTACACATTCCATGAGCGAGGTTCTAGCTTCAAGATATATCAAGCATCCGCCCTGGCTAGTATGGCTCAGTTGGTTGAGCACAGGTCTGTGAACCAAAAGGTCACTGGTTCGATTCCCAGTCATGGCACATGCCCCAGGTTGTGGGCCAGGTCCCCAGCTGGGGACGTGTGGAGAGGCAACCAACTGATGTTTCTCTGACACATCAATATTTCTCCCCCTCTCTGTCTCTTTCCCTTCCCCTCTCTATAAATGAATAAAGAAAATCTTTTTTTCCTTTAAGAAAATTTATTGGTACCTCTTGAGCAAAATAGGGAAATGGTATGTTTGTACAAATCATACTTTCATGAAATGGATCCTCATACCACATTCTTTTTAATACAGGCTTGTTGCTGAAACATTATTCCTGGATTTTCAAAATCCAGCCAACATGGATACCTCCGCTAGTCTGTTTTGGCCTTCACAGCTGCTTCCTCTCTCAGACGAGCCTTCTTTTCTACCTTCAGGCTTGTTAAAGACTCGCGTCTTTTGGCAGCCTTCTTGCCCTCAATAACCATCAAGATGCGCCTTGCCACTGTCAGGGCAATCATTACACAGTTGATCTTCACCTGGATCTTGTTTTTTGCAGCGTCAAGCATCTCAAATGAGATAGTCTCTGGGATTTCATCTTCCTTTTCAAACCAATCTGACCATATCAGGATCTTCCTCTCCCAATCCATGGGTTTGTGTAATGGCACTTGGTGGCTATAAGTGTGGAATGGAGCTTTTGGACTTTCCTGTGGTTTGGTGCAAAAATCCATTTATTCTCTTCAAATCAGAGTTTCTGGTAAGCCTTAGAAATGAGGAAGCACCTCTTTCACATAACCTAAAACAATTTCCCGCTGCCAGGCACAGGCCGCAGAGGCTCCCCATGGCTGCCTACTCCACCAACCCACACAACACCTCAGGGGAGGCGGTGGCACGGGAAGACTCAATGTCACTGAGTGCGTTGCAGCTGAATAAATAAAATCTTAAAAATAAAAAAGATATATCAAGCATCCAATCCCTTTTTAACACATTGAGAAGCTACTATCCTAGTCTCAGTTACCATTATAGTTTGCCTGAATTACTACACTCATCTTCTAACTGGTTTTCCTGCTTCTACACTTGCTTCCTTCAGTCTATTGTTAATACAGTGGTGATTCTTTTATAGAAACCAAGACCTATATAAATGGAAAGCTATTTCCTGTTCATGAATTGGAAAACTCAACATTGGAAGGATGTCAAATCTTCACAAGATGATCTACAGATATGATGCAATCCTCCTCAATAATGAACCTTGACCCCACTCTGCCACCAGTTACAAACATCGAATCCAGATGAACCTCAGTGGGGAAGGCAGAGCAATCACTTTGACATGTTCCCTCTGCTTTATTAAACCCATTTTTTCTTTGAGACTCATTTTCATATTCCATTATTCTACTGATTTTATTTATTTCACTCTCCAAAATTTGCTTACCTACTCTTTGTTTTCCCTTTTTGTCTATTGCTTACATGTTAGCACTGTAAGACTCTCTGGGTAGTCAGCATATACTCATTCATCGAGTTTATCAGAAAGAAGTAACATGTATAATGGCCAAATCACTAGGGACATTGGGGGAGGTCTTTGCCAATCACAGTTCCTCAGAGTGAGAAACATACAATTTGAAGTGAGTTTGCTTTCCTTAAACTTCTGTAATTCCTTTAAAATGTGGCCTTATAGGTATCAGTGTGAGAGTGATTATATTTAGATGAAGAGAGAAGGAGAAAGAGAGAGGAAGGGAGGGAGGGGGAGTGGGGAGAAGGAATGAGTGAGAGAGAGCGAGAGAGCGCGAAAGAAACCCCATGAGAATTAAGTGCTTTACAGAAGAAGGCAAAAGAGGGCTCCAGGAGGGCATGCCAACGGACCAAGCCGATAGGCTGGGTTAGCATGATGTTGATGGTGACAGCTTGGTAAAAGCCACATTACTAGTGTGTAGCCAGTTAGAATAGAATTTGGAAAAAACATGTTAGATGGAATGATGAATGAGGCTGATGGGATGACTGAAAATAAAAGAGTTGGTCTATTGTCTCAGAGCTCACTATGCCTGTGAGCTGCAAAGAATGGGATCAAGAAGAGAAGACATAAAAGGCATCACCTTCTGTACCAAGTGGGTCCCAGAGTGAATCCAAACAAACACCTGGAACTTAGTCTCAGGTGAGAAAGCCATCACATGGGCAGGGGCATGCCTAAGGGACCAGGGCTCTGACTGCTTTCAGCATCTATAGGGACCCAAAGAGATAAGAGGAGCCAGGCTTCTCTCTGTACATGAGTATTAGCATTCAACACTTACCTTTCCAGGGTCTCATATTATCTAAACCAGAGAGAGAGATTCTTCTTGGTGCCGTAGTGCATTCTGGTTTCTTGATGCTGCTGTGCCTACTCCACAGGAGCTTCTCCTCTTGGCGCCGTTCAGAGAGATGGATTGGCTTAGGGGGTCGGGGAGGTGGCACATTGGACACAATGTCTAGTTCTTTTACCCCATAGGGTAAGGAACCTTGTTTTTTATCTACCTGAATGGTGGAATTTAAGGAAGTTTCCGGCAATGGTGAAGAAAAGCGGTCCCTGGACGGCCCATTGATATCTCTATTCCAGATCAGGGAAGCCCGAGGCCTTGCATAGTAAGGTACCTCCTGATATCCATTCCCATGGAGTGAGGAGTAGGCCAAGTTAACGTAGGGCACCGGCTGCAGGCCATCGACAAAAACATCATCGAATGAAGTCTGTTCCAAAGAACGGTCTGAGTTTGACCAGCTGTCACATCTGGTGGGTAAACTGAGGGAAGAAAAGCATGTAAATTTGACTGAAAATAAAAGGTCCCTGGCAACTGCAGTAGGCACCACAGCGACATTGCTGGTACTCCCTTGGCAGAAATCTGAAGAAGAAAGCCATCTACCCACCACAAAACCCATGCTGGCCTCACGCCCATTCCTCAAATATTACCTTTTTTTCTTATATAGCCACATTCCCTCTACAACCCTCAGTCACACCAACACCTTGATGCAGGGGTAAAAAATGGTTTGTAGACTTTTTTCATATGAAAATGCAAGGTTCAAAATGAAAGCCACAAGGCTAAGATACATGATTCATTTTGTTTAGTATATCACATACTTCATCCTTCGTAGTGGTTGATAGTGATCTGTCCCCGCCCTCTCAGTAGCAGGAAGAGAAGTGAGGGCAGATACACCCACTAAAACATGCTACAGCTAAATGGATAGATTTGGTCAGGCACACTGAGCACATCTCACTGACAGACCGTAAAAGAGGAGGCAATGTGAGGCCTGGCTCGGAGGGAGTCCAGTGCATAAGCATACCTGGCATGGTGCAGTCTTCCAGTCTCACAGTTGGACAGAATCAGATAATCAGGAAGGAAGGGAAACTCTGACTCACTTCTGGTTTCCTCAGTGGCTATGGTATTAGAGCTTGGGTCATCTCTTGGCAAGGAGGAGCTGACAGCATGGGCGGTGTAAAGGGAGCTGCCAGGGGGTGGCTGGAGGGATGAGGGCGTGTGATAGAGGCTCTCCACAGAATCTGCTGGAGAAATCATTTCCCACGTTAACATTTAAGAATGGCTCTAACACTCACAATTTCTCAAACAGCATCTAAAGAAGCCAGATAAAAGATGCAAATCACAGCTGGTGTTTGTATTGATGGAGGAGACCACTTCCCCAAGCTATAAACAATGTCTGGGAAAGAAGGCCAATGTTCGTAAGAGTGAAGTGTTGAATCAATTAAGAATTAAAAAAAAAGAAAGAAAAGAAAAAAAAACAAGCATTCTTGGTATAAAAATCTGCAGTTAGATAGTCTACACACAGCTCCTTTATGGCCCTCAGCCACAGCCATGCATCACTGTTAATTCACTCAACAAATATACATATATACACATATATTTATGCATATCAAATACATATGTATGTACTTACACATGCATTTCTGCATACATGTATGTATGCATATATAGACATCTATTTATGGCTACATATATAGAATACCTACTTTGCACCTACTATGTGCCTAGAACTGTTCTAACTCTGCTGATACAGACAAAACAAAGACTCTGCCCTTACTGTCCACCAGAAGGGATAGACAAGTAACACATAAATAAAGAATACTGTTAAAGATTGACTGTTAATGATATATAAGGAAAAGGAAGGGGAAAATGGGGTGTTGTGATGGCTAGTAAAGCCCACATTTCTCAAGGAGCATAACATTCAGAAACTCCCAATGAAAAGCCACCTTTTATTTCCCCTTTGAACCAAGTTAGCAGGAGTTCAGAATTCCTGAGTCAGAGTGGGTTCAAGTCCAGGCTCTACTATCTAGCTATTATGACCTTGGGAAAATTACCTCCTGCTCCACGCTTCCTTCTCTGTAAAGTGGAGATGCAAATACTAGTACATATGCCACAGAATCAGTCTAGGGATAAGATGAGCTAATATACAAAAGCATTTAACAGAGTTCCTAGCCAAAGTCCGCATAGTACACTGACTACCTGTGGCTACTGGAGATAGAACCAAACATATGTGAAAGGCCACAAGAAACCCCTTCGGGTGTGGTTCTCAGATGAGGGGGACTCTGCCCTCACATCCTTCTAAAAACTAAGGGGAAATACAGGGAATAAAAGAGGTCATAGGGGGTTTCTGGCTTCCTCCAGCTTCATGACAGAACTTTCCATTTCCTGCCTTGTGCCTTACTCATTCCTGTTCCTCTTTGACTATTGGGAAACATGTTATGTGTCTATCTATGTCTTAGGATAACTCCTGGATGAGGAAAGAAACAGAGGAAACACATAACATGATACATGAATGTATATCTAGTTTGGGCTGAAGGTAGGGACTAGGGTGGCAAAGAGTGGGCAGCAAAGCTGGAGGAGTTTGTCAAGGAGCCTCTGCTTGTTTGCCATGTGAGAATTCAGCCAGGGTGCATTCACTGCCACTTTGCTAGTAAACTTTATCTGTTGTAGCAAGGATAAAGAACTCGTCATCACTTCATTTCCTTTCATTTGAGTGCTGTCAAAGTTCAAAAATATGACTGAATAGCTTCACTTAATAAGCTTCCCTGGTTCATTTTTTTTTTTTTAAAGAGCTTTGTCCTCAGGAAACACTCTCACATGCTTGTCTTAGAGAGGCAACTCTGACTCTCCACCACCACCTAGTGTTTAATGTAGATATTTCAGTGGCCAATGATAAGCACACACTAGCAACTGTTCACCATGGGATTTAGGACTAAGGTTTTGTCTACCAGACTAAGGCTATAAGAAATCAGATGGAAAGTTCCATGGTTTGAGGAGCAGGGCATGCTGCCCAACAACAAAACCCATGAAGGGGAGTGAACTGTAACCCTAGGTGCATTATACCTGCTATATTACATAGAAAGGGCAGTGTGTGTGTGTGTGTGTGTGTGTGTGTGTGTGTGTGTGAGAGAGAGAGAGAGAGAGAGAGAGAGAGAGAGAGAGAGAGAGAGAGAGAAGGAGAAAGCGCTTCATGATTCATTTGCTCCCACTGCCCAGAAATGGCCCAGAGGAAACTTGGAGCTAATTTCTCTTGCAGAGACCTTAAACCAGTTAGATATGAAGAATTTCTTCTTGCCTATGATAAACAGCCAAGTTCTGTCTTTCTACTATCTAGTCCTAAACAATACAATTGGTAACACAAAAGCCAGAGTTCCATGAATTAATGAAAGATGGTGATATTTAATATTTCTAGAAAATCAGCAGCAGCTGCATTGGGAAAATCAGAGCCCCACATGACGTCCTCACCCATGTTTTAATTTCATTGAATGCATTCTCTGTGACTTATGAGAGCAAAGGCACAGAGCAGCTTCAAAGCCTTTGATGTTGATTATAATGCTCAGTGCATGATACATTTGAACCTGAAGTCTAACACCTGGTAAAAGGGAGAAATTTCTGGTACTGTATTTGGAGGGGGGGGGGAGGAACAGTTCTGACATAAATTAGCCTTCCAAAACACCCTCACAGGTGGGCTTGGCACCTTGAACGGTTTTCCCATAGTAGCTCTCCAAGTGCATGTGCTGCATCCCAGGCCACCCCTTCAGCACACAGGTACCGCAACTCTGCTCTCACCTGCAATACCCTCCAGTGGGCCGAAGTTGCAGACCTGAGTGATGCTGTATACCCACACCTGCATTTCTTCCTCGGTCTTGGCCACCAGGTAGAACGTACGAGAAGTAGTCTTAACAATGAATACGAAATTATTCTGAAATTCCTTCCGAACGAAGCCAGGGCCCGCATGCTTCCACACTGCACACTCGCTGAGGTCTATCACACGAATGGGCTTGCTCGAGTGTTTGTTCCTGTAGTACTCCAAGACGTCAGGGTTGCCGCTCATGCGGCCCCGCCGGAGGACAAACCAGCGCTTGCGCCAGGCCTGCAGAGAGGCAATTCAACAAGGAGTTACTACCAACTGCTCTTGTTTCCGAGACTCTGCTAAGAACCTATTTCATAGCAAGGACAGCAAAAAGAAGTAAATCAGCCATTCGAACAATGGAACGCAAACTCCACCGTTTTGGATTAGAGGACTAGTGTGTATTCTTCAAGTCTGCTTTATTCAATGAGTATAGGATGTGTCATTATTGGGGAGTGTAGTAATAGGATTCACAGCCACAGGTTGAAGGGCCAGAATTATACAATCAATGCAGCAAAGGTATGTACAATAATACAAATTTATTTATATGCAGGTCTTTAAAAAAAAACTTAGTAGTGAAGAACAAGAAGGAAGCTTTCTTATCATTGTCTATATCAATCCCAAAGCCAATATCATACATTAAAATCAGATGCAAATCATGAGTGCCCAGCATTTTCAGTATCATCTAACATTGTTATTTAACTTCTAGAGAATTGCTCAACCAGAAAAGAAAAATCATATACATTGGAGAAGAGAGAACCTATTTAATCTCCAAAACTATTGTACGGAGACAAAACTATTTTGTCTATTTTATGTATGAAAGAAATAAGAAATTGATTAATGTGCTCAAGGTCACACAGCTAAGCTATTGTAGGAATGGATTTGAACTCAAGTCAGGGTGAAAGGATCAGTAATGAACGTGAAGCAAAAAAAGCAGAGAGAGGTGTGTAGCCAATTCTTTAGAGATGTCTGACTGTAAAGGGGAGATCTCTGGGGTCAAGGGATGATTTTTGAAACATGGAAGACACATGCATTTCTTCTCCCTCCCCCCAATCACAGTGTTTCTCAACCAGGGATCAAGATGACCTACAGGACATCTAAAAATAGGTGTATTTTGCTTATCATTAAGGTGGGGGGGGCAGAATTATCTGGCTTAAAACTATCAGTTCCCTGTTGAGAAAACACTAACAATTGAAAGGAACTTTCTTGGTGCAATAGAGATCTTAGAATGAGTCAAGTCTTGAGGTAAGATGATCAGGCAAAACTTAGTCTATGCTCTAAAAAGAAAAGAGAATGATGCTGGAAAGAAACCAGCTCTAAGATAATGTCAGACTGGAGCTACTGAGAAGGATATGAGCCTCCTCAGCTCCCCATTCACCCTTGACCTAAAATGTTTGCTGCAGACAGTACCAAGAAGATGTGCACATCCCAACAGATAAATGGATAGATACCTTTTTGGGTATGAGGCCTGGGGAAAGACGTATTTGCAAGTGACCATAGCCATGCTACTCTAAGGAGTCCTCAGTATCTGTAAACTTCCCTGCTGTCTCCTGGAGGCAGGAGGAAAGAAGTGAGGACTCTCCTCAAGTTCCTTTTCTTTTATGTTTAGGTGCCTTTTGTCAGCGCATGCCACCTGCCAGCCTGCGTGGATACCATGTGCTTGCTTTCTGCTGGAGAGGACTGAGCACAAAGGTAACAGGCTGACGGGCTGACAACAGAACTTTCTCCCATTGGAGAGGCTCAATGTTGCAGTTGGCAAAAGCAAGTGGAGAGATTTATAGCTCTGTGGTTTGCTCTCCTGTGCAGTGGCATGTGTGACAGCAGGAAGTGCGGGATTCTGCCAGGAGGCATGGTGACCACTGGGACAGGAAGTCTTTTATATCTCTAACTTCATTTTTGCCTGACAAATTTAAAGCCCACCAGCTTTGACCAAGAGGCCAGGGGGAAAGGAAAGGCCACTGTTTGGAGTGTTCTCAGCTCCCTCCCTGCCCAGGGAACATAAGGTCTGAGACAGCAGAGAATCTGATAAAACACTGAAGAGGGGAAGGCCAATTGGCACAAAGGACCTGCAATTGTACCTCAGAATAAAAAGCTCTTTTGAACCTGTAGCAGGGGCCAGCCATCAGAAGGAGGGTAGTTGCTCCATGTTGGGCTGGGACAGAAAGGGGGAAACAATGCCTGGCAGGTGAGCCCTGGCTTGGTTCTTCCTTTACAGACAGTGTAATGCTCTGAGGAGATGTTTGGCCACTTAGAAGAGGGACAAAGCAGTGTGATTTAGTTCTTGTTTTTTAAGATGGGAGAAGTAGCTCTGGCCAGGTGGCTCAGTTGGTTGGAACATCATCCCATACACCAAAATGTTGTGGGTTCCATTCCTGGTTGGGCTGCATATGGGAGGCAATCAATCAATGTTTCTCAAATCGATGTTTCTTTCTCTGTCTCTTTCTCTCTCCCTCTCCGTCCCTCTCTTACCTTCCCTCCCTCTCCCACTTTCTCTCCCTCTCCCTCTCTAAATCAACTTTTAAAAAATATCCTTGGGTGAGGATTTAAAAAAAAAAAGATGGGAGAAATAACATCATGTTTATATGCTCATGTAGTAATCCAGGAGGGAGAGAAAAATTAATGAGTCAATAAATTCCTGTTGCAAAAACGTGGTATTGAACAGAATGCAGACACCAAACATGAGGAAAGGAGCTCAAGTGTCACTGTGACGTTTGGAGCGAGGGAGGTGGGAAACTTGGGCTTCTGGCAGGGGCTGAGACAAACAGGAAAGTAAGGACCAGTCCCGGTATTCCTTGTGACGATGTGGACCCAAGGAAGGGGATTTGGGGATGAAAGCAGGTCATGTATGGCTGCTAAGGAAAGCTTTGATGGGGAGCCTGGGATACCCTAAACTTACCAAAGATCACTTTGGTAGGGACATATGACGAGGAGGGGGTTCGTAATATGAAATGGGCAGATTCAATGCAGGGTAATGAGTGCACTAGTAGAGGCGTCAGCCAGGAGCAGTGGGTATGCAAAGAGGAGAATGACATGGACAAGTCTGGTTTTCACTCATTTGTTTAACAATTATCTGTTAATAAGCTACTAACGTGCTGGACACTGTACAGAAACTGAGGAAATGGAGGTGAACAAGCCACAGTCCCTGCCACTCATAGTCTTGTGGGTAGCAAAGGAAGTGGGCAGATGGTTAAACAGACAATTGTAGTCAGTGAGATAAGTGCTATGAGAAGAGAAAGCCAAAATACTAAGGTGATACACGAGTGAGATCGGTAGGTTTAGGGAAGCTTCCAAAAGGAAATGATGGCTGAGCTAAGACTGAAGAAGGGCTAAATAAGCAGCATGTGTAAATGCAGGTCGTTCAGCAGGGCTGGAAGGCAAGCATGAGAACAGTCACCCAGTAACCTGAATAAGATGTAGCATCATTTTCATGCTAGACCTGGCAAACTGATCAACATGTTCTTCCTCAGGTTTTTAAATCTCTAACTAACACTTGTAATTATGCAAAAGCAGAGATGATTCACTCTCAGAACTCCTTGTTAAGTAGGTAGAACCAGAGGCTATGTATAGTTTTGTCCTATCAGGCTTATTGGTGTCTGAAAGTGGGAGACATGTGACAAAGACCCCTGAAAGAAGTCACCCAGCACCAAAGTGAAGCTCTTTCCAATGAAACAGTGTCACAAGGGGGTTACCAAATGTGAAGGGTCACATCAAAAGGACACAGGAGTTAACCTGAAGCTCCCAGTGGACAAAGGTGGAACGATATAAGCTTTAATAAAAGTATAATAATTTCAGTGGCTTGAAATCCATCAAATACGTTTAAATCCATGAGTTCTCATGATATTAAAAAAGAAAAAAGAATTTGTCATCCTTAGAGGATGTAAGAGAACCACTTCATTATCTTGCAAACTGGTAAATAAAGGGAGACAATTAAGCATTATCCTGCCTTTCCTAGATAAGCCATCCTACTGAACACATGAAGAGAAATACCTTTCCATAAATATATTCTGACTAATAGAAGAAAACAAATGATAAAATTAGACTATCACCATTTTGTTTTCCCCAGTGAATTAGTAGGTATAAGTATTAAGCATCAACAGTGGCCAACTCAGGAAGAGAACAAGCAGACACTCTGTACCTTCAATAGTTTAGCACGAGGCTGTGGATGAAAAAGAGGCCACATATGAAACCCGAGAAGCTCAGGGGAGGCTCGCATGGTGGCCCTTACAAACTCACAAACAAAGAGTAACCACATAGGATAGTCTAAAATTAAAACTTCCGTACTAAAAGCTGTTCCTGACCATAGTAATGTCCCAGCGCAGTATTTTCCCCTAACACAGGTCAATCTTTACCTTAATTGAACCTGTCTGTAGTCTTTCTGCATGCAGGCTAATATGCCATGAGAACATGCCTTTGGAATAACAAAGTAGTTTTCTTTTTTCTGGACACCTCAAAGCACAACCAACACCAGAAGGAAGACCACAAATCCCCTCATTGTTACTGTTATCATGTTAATTATTGACTGTTAACTATCCAGAGAGAAAGAGAGACAGAGACAGCGCTGGGAGACAGAAACATCAATCGAGTATCAATCGGTTTCTATCCATATGTGCCCCGACTAGGATAGAACCCACAACTTAGGTATGTGCCCTGACCAGGAATCAAACTCGGAACTTTTTGGTGTATGGGATGATGCCCCAACCGAGCCACCTTGCCAGGGCTTTCTATTTTACTTTTCATCTAATCCCAAAGGTGACCCCACTTTGCTTTCTCCCACCTCTCTAATCTATCACCAATGGATTCGCATAACCCCCTTACGTCTTCCCCTTTGATTTTGCTATATAAAATAAGTGGCAATACTTCCATTTTCCGGAACATTTTCTCAGTCCATTGAGATTTTGCTTCTAGGCAATTGTCGTCAGTTTGGCTCAAACAAACTCATAAAAATTCTTACAGGTTTGGACATTTCTTACATTGACAAGGCAAAAGCCAGATTGTGGGAAATTCTGCAGATCAAAGGCCTGAGTTTTTCAGCAGATAAATAAGAAAAAGAAAAGACAGGAGTGTGGTGAATCTATGGATTAAATGACACTTAAAGGATGTATCAAATTTTTTTCAATGAACTAGACTAAATTATAGTGCCTAAGGGATGCTCATTTGATTTCTGCACATATCAGGAATAGCAGTTGGTTATGGGGAGGAGGATGTTGTGACTGATATGAAGCACATGGAAGGGCTTTGGTAGT